GGGCAGGTAGAGTGGTGGTTAAGGGAGCTGGACTCCCACAAGGCCAACCTTGGTTTGGGTCCTGGACCTGGTGGTTGGCTTTCTCACTTTCCCTCTCTCTCTCTCACTCTAGCTCTGCCTCTCTCTGGTCAAATTACAATAATTAAATAAAGTTAAATTAAAAAAATAATAATTCTTTAAAAAAAAAAGGTGAGACAATGGATACCTGAATCAAGGTCAAGGGGGTTAGAGTTTAGTCAGTCAACAATAGGAATCTTTAAAGAAATGAGAAGAACTTCAAAAAGTTGATGGAATAATAGAATTAAAGTACAAGTTTATTTTGGTAAAGAAAATTCTGAAATCCATGCATATTTTCTTAATAATATACATTTTCCATCACCTTTATAAAGATCCTCCCCCTATACTTGAGCAAAGAAGTAGGCAAAAGGGTAAGATTAAATGTATAAAGCAGTAATTTAGAAGGATAGCTAGACTTCAGTCATTATATAAGTTAATTTGGAAGTAAAAGAAATTTGGAGGCAAAAAGATCACTTAAGAAGATTACTGCAACAGTTCAAGTATGCTTTTCTTCCATGCTATTTGCTATAATTGAACTTTATAAAAAGTAGCTTAGGTGGGGACTAGCAAGTGGCATGGTGGTTAAGGTGCTGGATACTCCAATATGGCCAACCACAGCTCTAGTCCCGGACCTGGTGGCTTTCTTTCTTGCTTTCCCTCTCACTCTATGTCTCTATCTAGTCAAACTGAAATAAATGAATGAATAAATAAAATTAAATAAACATTTTTTTAAAGTAGCTTAGGGAATGAAATAATCATCCCACACAGAGGCCCTTAAAAGAAATATTTTGTTGTACCATCTTATAGCAGCCACAAATAAGATACCAAAAAGTCTACAAAGAGAGAACAAAACTCTATCCCATTTCAATGATGAACAGGCATACTCTTCGGGGCTCTCGTACCCATTACTTCCTCCATCTGCTGCAGGGTCTTTTCCATCTCCTCTTGAACATCCTGCTGTTTCCGTCCAGCATCTTCAACATTATGTGTCTCAAAATAGCAGTCTCGAAATGAATAGAGCTGATCCACCAGTTCCTAGGAAGTGTAAAGACAATACCATTAGATGGAGAGAACAATGCATAAGAAGAATTGGAAACTAGTTATCCATATCGCCTATTGGTCTAGAAATACTGATTCTCTTATCTCACCTAGAAATGGTACAATAGACTGGGGGACAGTCTATCAACCACAGATCATGAGGAGAAGCTGCTAGTATCCCCTGCCACTCTCCGGGCCCCATGTTTTCCCATGGCAGTCTCTGCACCATGAAGACAGCTCCCTCTCTGACAACTCCAGCAGGGTTTCTAACATGACTAACCACTTCCCATACCACAGTGGGAAGGAGGGAAGAACTCTGCAACTTGAGATAAACCAAAAGTTAACAAGATCATTCTTTTTTTTCTTTTTTTCTTTTTTTTTTTTTTTGAGAGGTTTTCGCTATAGGGTACGTGCGCTCGCCAGACAGACAGAGAGAGACATAGAGACAGAAAGCGAGAAATCACCCCCCAGGGGGGATGGTCACGCCGCAATCCCTTCTCCTCCATTCTCCTCTCAGGATCTTGGGCACGCACGCACACACGCCCGGTGTGAGTTTTAAGCCACTGGGTCCAGGACACGAACCACGGTCGACTATGTGGGAGTCCAGCGACATAGCCATTACGCTAACTGCTGGTTCCCAACAAGATCATTCTATCTGGTTCTGGTCCCCAAAAGATAAAACCCTGAAACTTACCCTTAAAACTGGACTTCCTAAAAAAACTATTTGTCCCTGATTTTTCCTATGTTGGTATCTGAAAATACAACATGACCACTGTGACTGTAATAAACATGAAAGTCATTTTCAACCACAAAAAGACAAACTTGAACTTGGCAACCTTGGTATTTTTGCAGGATTTTGTTTTGTCAAATGCTTACTGTGTATATGGACTTTTTTGTTTGTTTTCTCTCATTTGGGTTTCCTTGTCAATTCATCCTCAGGCTATCTTGCATTTATTACAAGTAAATGTTCTCTTTCCTCTTTTAAATGCCTCTGAGTCTTTCTGTAATTCCAAGAAAAGGTTTTATATTATTTATTCTTTACTGAATCTAAAATTTGGAGTACCAACATGATGCCTCAAGTAGAAAATTCCACACCTGACTTCATATGATGGGTCATGGTGAAAATGCCACTATTACAAAAATATTGTCTAATATTACCTTCAAGTTATGTGTGTAAGATGTATATGAAACACAAACGGAGGCCAGTAGGTAGTATAGTGGTTGAGGGCACTGGATTGCCACATAGCCAACTGTGGTTTGAGTCCCGGACCTGGCAACTTGCTTTCTCACTTTCTCTCTTGGGCTCTTTCTCTCCCCTTCTCTGGTTAAATTAAAATAAAATAAATAAATGGAAACACAAACAAATTTCATATTTAGACTGGATCTCATCCTCAAAATATCTCCTCATACATATTTCCAAATTCCAAAGTCCAAACACTGGTCTCAATCATTTCAGATAAGGGATATACAACCTATAGTCCAATCCCCTCAAATCTTATTAACTACCTCCACAGCACATTCTAAATTCATCCATCTGTCTCCATTTCCCTCTGGCCATTCTGTACTAAATCAACTTCAATATTTGCCTGTACTAATGCAACAATTTCTTTTCTTTTTTTCATTTAACTTTATGTATCACCATCATCATTTTTTTTTTCCAAGTTTACCAGACAGAGACAGAGAGACAGAAAGAGGGAAAGTTAGAAAGTAAGTCGCCAGGTCCAGGACTCAAACCATGGTCAGCCAAGTGGGAGTCTAGCACCCTCAACTACCACACCACCTGCCCACCCCTGTAATGCAGCAGTTTCTAAACTGATCATCATGTATCTATTCTCTCCCATTCACCTCACTATAGTCAGAGTGATCTTGTAAAAATGCACACCTTGGGACCAACAGATGTTGTAATGGTTACATCACTGGATTTCCACATAGTCCACATTGTTCAAGTCTCAGACCTGGCAGCTTGAAATTCACACGAGGTGCATGTGTGTGCATGCCCAAACTCCCAGGAGGAGAATGGAAGAGAAGGAACTGTGACATGACTATCCCCCAAGAGGGTGATTTCTCACTTTCTGTGTCTCTGTCTCTCTGGACCCGATCGCAAAAATCTCTCCCTTTAAAAAAAAAAAAAAAAAAAAAAAAGCATACCTTCCACACAACCCTCAAATAATAGTTTCTCATTGCAGATAAAATAAAAACCCAAAACCCAACTCCTTATCATAGCCTACAAGATGGAATGATCGGACCTCTCACCACTCACCCTGCCAAAAAAGTTCACTTCTGATCACCCTTCCTCCTACAACTCTCAAGCCACAATGGTCTTCATATAGTTCCTTAGATCCATCAAGCTCAATCCCACCTTGAGGACTTTACACACGCTTTTCCCTATGCCTGAACATTCTTTCCACAGTTTCTGCATTATTCATCCTTCATCATCAATTAGGTCTCAACTCGAATATTAACTTCTCTCAGAGGTTTTCCCTAACTACCCAAAGTAACCCATTCCTTCCTTTTCCCACTGTTAAATCATACTCT